TAATAGGATCTACCATAATTTAAACATTCATCTAATGATAGTGTAAATTTCAGTCTTCTCACTGGTAAATGGTGAATAAAAATAAAACCTGTTCAGATGGTAACTATACTTACTGTGAGGAGTATTGAGTAATGTATGGAATTGTTAAGTAAAAATCACCACATTGTGGGGCACCTAGGTGGTTCAGTTGGTTGAGTGTCTGGCTGTTAATTTCAGCTTAGGTCATGATCCCAGGTCATGGGATCAAGCCCCATGTCAGTCTCTGTGCTGACTGTGAAGCCTACTTAAGATTCATTCATTCATTCATTCATTCATTGAATCATTCTCTCTTTCTCTCTCTCTCTCTCCCCCCCACACTGCTCTTCTCCCCTGCTCACATATACTCTCTCTCTCTCTCTCTCTCTCTCTCTAAAATTAAAAAAAAAAATCACTAAGTTGTACATTTGAAACTAACATAACATTGTATGTCAGTATACTCCAATGATAAAAATATTTAAGTCAAAAAATTAATTAAACATGTTCTTTTAAGGGTTAAAGAAACTTAGCACACTGCTTACAGTTTAAGCACTCAGTGAATATTTGTTAATAAAAATACATAAATGAGCTTTGGAGTCAGACAGACATGGGTCCACGTTCTATTCTCTTCTCTCACCAGCTGTGAGATGGTGAGATCTTACTAAATTACTGAATCTCTCTAACCTGTCTCACACGAAAGGGGAGTTTATGATAAACGCTTCATTATTTTTTTTTATAAGAATGAAATGTCATGCATAAACTACCGAGCTCACAGCAGGAACTCAGTGTTTCCCTCCCTCTTAAATCATTTAATCTCATGGAAATGTATTTACTTCATTTGATATTATTTCATAAGAAGACAGGTGTTTCATTAGTAATACATAGGTATTACTTCACTAGAGGATTACCACAGAATCAATATTTTCTCCTAAAAATAAAACCTCACATTTTTACAAATATAGAAAATAAAGAAAGGAAAAACCTGAAAGTTGACTACAAACAGAAGCCTGTTTATCCAGTTGGTAACATTACCACCCAATAGCAGGGGGGAAGAGAGAAAATGTTTAGTACAATGCTTAGACCATACTCCTACTGAAATATATTTTAAAGACAGTGAAAGCAAAGAAATCTTGTGTTTTGCCTGTAGTGGTTTGGGTATAGTAATTCTGGAATGTGTTTTGTGTGTATCTCAGGTTGAGCAAATGAGTAAATGTGATATTGCAGAATGTCAGTTTTCTTAGTGGAAGAAAGGAGGTACTATAAATAGGGAATGGGATAAGGAGAGGAAGAATCCTTTAACATTCTTAAAAACTGAGAATCATCAATGAAATCATGAACTCATGATTTTGGCTTAAAAAAAGCTATATAATATGTGTGTACATATGTGGATAGGCCTAGAAACAGCACCACCCTTGGCAATTAGCACAACTGATCTTGGTTTCTAAATGTTACCACTAAAAAGGAATAAGGCGTCCTTGGGAAAATGGCTCATTCCAGAACTGTGTAAAGATGAGCTTGGATATCTTGTTGTGCCAGAAAGGAACAGAGTATTTAAAAAAAAAATTCTTTTTTAATGTTTATTTGTTTTTGAGAAACAGAGACAGAACGTGAGTGGGGGAGGAGCAGAGAGAGAGAGGGAGACACAGAATCCCAAACAGGCACCAGGCTCCAAGCTGTCAGCACAGAACTGGACGTGGAGCTCGAACCCACAAACTACGAGATCGTGACCTACGCTGGAGTCAGACACTCAACCAACTGAGCCACCCAGGTGCCCTGTTAATGGGAACATTTAAAAAAGACATAGAAACCAGCTCAAAAGAGCTCTCACTGGCCCAAACTGGTTCCGTATGAGTATTAAAATGAATAATGACAGTAATAAATACAATATATTGAAGAAGAAAAGGATCCATGAGAACATACTCATGCAAACAAATAAAATGGAAGGGAAAAAAAAACTTTATAATTAATGTCAGTCAACAAATGTAGAAGGAATTGTAATTAGAAAAACAACATTGTAGTTGTTTAGCAAGATATACTTATTTTAGCAAGAATCATCAGTGAATGCTAATATCATTGGGTGCAAGTCTCTTGGGGAACAGGATATTCACACAGTCTCAAATTGTATCCTCGTCATTATTTTACTAATTATAGTGGTAGAAAAGAACACCTTCACATTGGAAAAAAATTGGCTACTGTAGCTTAAGTGGTCAAAGTGAACATTGGGACACACTGATAGCATGTGCCTCCTGACATGATGCACTGAGAAGGACACAGTATCACTTATGTAGTATTCTTGCCAGAACTGCATAAATTTCATTCTGATCATGAGGAAGCAGTCAGACAACCCAAATCCAGCACATTCTGCTACATAACTGCTCTGTACTTTTCAAGAATATCAGTGTCAGGGTGCCTGGGTGACTCAGTTAAGCGTCCAACTTCGGCTCAAGTCATGATCTCACGGCTTGTGTGTTCGAGCCCCGTGTCAGGCTCTGTGCTGACAGCTCAGAGCCTGGAGCCTGCTTCAGATTCTGTGTCTCCCCTACCCCACTCGTGCTCTCTCTCTCTCTCAAAAATAAACATTAAAAAAAAAAAAGGAATATCAGTGCCATTTAAAAAAACAGAGGCTGAGGGGCACCTGGGTGGTTTAGTCTATTAAGCATCTCTTTATCTCAGGTCAGGTTATGATCTTGAGGTGGGATCGAGCCCTACATTGGGCTGGCTCCATGCTGAGCATGAAGCCTGCTTGGGATTCTCTCTCCCCTTCTCTCTGCTTCTGCCCAACTTTTGTTCTTTCTCTCTCAAGATAAATAAACGGATTTTTTTTAATAAAAAAAAAAAAAAAAGGCTGAGGAACTATTCCAGGCCAAAGAGACTTGAAGGGACACCTGGATGGCTCATTTGGTTAAGCGTCTGACTCTCAGGCCATGATCTCACGGTTTTGTTGAGTTTGAGCCCTGCATCGGGCTTCACACTGGCAGTGCGGAGACTGCTTGGGATTCTGTGTCTCCCTGTCTGTCTGCACCCCACCCCAACTTGCACTGTCTCTGTCTCAAAATAAATAATAAACTTTAAAAGACCCAAAAACTAAATACAGTGCTTGATAGTGGATTGAGTTTTAGTTTAGTGGAGAAAATGACTATAAAAAAGACTATTGTTAAGTTTCCCAAATTTAATATATAGTGGCTATTCAGGTGATGTTCTTAGGTGAAATGAACTCAAGTATGAGTGAAAATGTCTACAACTTACTCCCAAATAGTTCCACAAAAAAAGTATGTGTGGGGTACAAACAACAGAAAGAATGAGAACATGTGACAATGTTAACAATTAAGTAATCTAGGTGAGGGTATATGAATATTTGTTGCATTATTGAAACTTGTCTAAGAATTTGAAAATTTTCAAAATAAGTTGAAAATAAAGCAATTTAGAAATTCAGAAAAGCAATTTAAATAGGGGGAAAAAGTAATACCATTATTCAAAGCTAACCTTTGCTTACATTTTGGAGTATTTCCTTCTGTTCTTTTCCATGATATTTCTTTGTTAAATCTTAAGCTCCAAAGAAGTAAATATTTGCTCTCAAACTTAAAATAATAGTAAAAAAAATTTTTTTTAACAAAAAAGAATGTACTTTTCTTGAGGCATTGTTTATTTTCCTTCCAGGAAACTGATATCCTTGGCAATGTTCTGTTCTGTTCATGTTCTTTACAAGAATGAAAACAGTGCACCTAAAACAGTATTCTAAGTTGAATGAAAATTGGTCCAATTTGAAATAATTTTCACTGAGTATTATGGCATATATAACTCTTTCTGGCACTATTTCTGTATCTTGTGGTAGTCTATAGGGCTCTCGTGTCTCAGCCATTTCAGGAATGGGGAAATCAAAAGACTACTTTGTTTATCATTCGTTATATGTACATAAGAAATTTGAGGCAGCTTAAAGCAATACAGCAGCTAACTAAAGGAAGGAAGCATCTCACTGAATATTCCTTTGACTGGAATGAACTTGAAAATTAAATGTTTACTAAAGGTTAAAGGGGAAAAAATCCTGTAGTTCCATTGGCCCCCACCTTTTAAGAATGTCATCCACTTTTTTTTTTAATGTTTATTTTTGAGAGAGAGAGAGAGAGATCATGAGCAGGGGAGGGGCAGAGAGAAAGGGAGACACAGAATCCTGAGCAGGCTCCAGGCTCTGAGCTGGTAGCACAGACCCCGACGTGGGGCTCAAACCTACGAACCATGAGATCATGACCTGAGCTGAAGTCAGACGCTCAACTGACTGAGCCACCCAGGCACCTCTGTCATCCACTTTCTAATGTTTACCTGCAGAAAAGTCGTTCATTGCTCTGTTTTTCACACAACGTGTGCCTGGCGTAGAGCATGGTGCATGGTATCAAACATGTATGGCCAGGTACTGTTCTCTGCTATCATACATGTATTTCTTTCCCTCAGTTATGTTTTCACTCAGTTCTCTGAGACTACATTCAGCTCTTGGGACCTTAATGATTTTAGACCACTTTCTAAAGAAAGTGATTTTATTTTTCATTTTGATTTTATTGTATTTTTTATTATAAAAAAATGTTAGTGGTCGGAAGTATTATAAAGTTGGAAAAGAGGCAGAAATTTCCTCAGTGGACTAGAAGAGGTAAATGTAAAGAAAAGAAGAGAGTCAATATTAGTTACTAAAGTGCCAGTCATCAGAACAGGTGCTTCTCACATAATTATATCTAATATGCACAATATCCCCATGAGTATACAAGATTAATACAAATTTATAGCTGACCAGACAGTTGCAGAAAGGCTGATTAACTCACCTAAGATCACACCACTGCCAGGTACTAGACCTGGGTTCGGGACCTACGTTTGTCTCGTTTTAAAATCAGATTTGGTTTTGATTTTTGCATTCTACATTGCTGCTTTTCTCCACTAGCTTCTCCGTTACATGTTTTAGACACAATGGATGAGTTTCTTTGTATCTCTCCCTTTACCAGGCTTTTCCGATGTGGATCACACCTATGCTCAAAGAACTCAGCTCTTTGACACCTTAGTAAATTTCTTTCCTGACAGCATGACTCCTCCCAAAGGCAACCTGGTAGACCTCATCACGCTGTAACTGAAGAGTCACTGGACAGAAATGGAGAACGTCTGATTTCAGTATTTTGGAGTCCAACTCCGTTGACCGACAATTAGGCTGCAGTGATTGAGGACTGCACCAGAATTTTGAAGGGATCTTTACTGTCACAAGTTTTAACCCTCTTCCTTCATACCTGACCTCAGCCCCTTTCTCCTCATCCCATTCCTGAATTAGGCTAATAAAGTGAAATTGGTATACTTTCCATTTAAATATATATATATTTTTTTCTTACTTTAACTTTTAAGAACTAATGAGTATAAAAGAAAAAGTAATCAGGCAGTTTACCCTTTTCTGGTTTTTATTTCATTTTTATAAAATTGGGGCAAGTAAGCACTATTAACAGACTCAGTGCTGTAATGTAAGAATTGGGGTTTTGTTGTTGGCTTGTTTTGGCCTCTTTCTCCTCCTCTCCCATTTCAGTTTACCTCGCATCATGCAAACTGCTTATAAGTCTGTCACTTGTTTACCTCTTTAATTCATTCTTAAAAGTGTGGAGTTCTGTAGGGCAAATGATGTAAAAGTGATGTATGTGTCTCTGTTGACTAGAGTCTTGTATTACATTAAACAATAGGAAGAACAGAGGGCTCAAATGTATGCCCCTTGTCATAGAACTAAAAAATGAAACCCAAGATTGATCCAGGCACTTATCTGAGATTGGTCTATAGTATTTCTATAATGATATATTTTATAGTGGATATTACAATAGCTTTGAGTCACAGAAACCTTAAACTGAGGAGAATATAGTTCAAAACCTTTAAGAGCCATTATAAAAATTACCAGCAAGAAGATTCCAGTAGTGATTAATATGTTCATTGATGTCTTTGTAGCAAATTTTGGAAGAAAACGACTCTTTTCTCTTGTAGAGCTATGCTTCCATTTCTCCTTTGTGCTTTTTGTAGCATTTTCACTTGGGAGGGTGGGTTTCCAGAGCTATGCTTTTGTTATTTCCATATACATTAGCTTCCTACATCTGTTTCTGTACACTGATATTTTAAAGAATAATGGTTTGTAGTTGTCCGATGGAATACAGCTGACAGGGATTTCATTAAGCACACGCAGGCTTTTAAATGGAGAAAAAGAAAATAATGGTACAGATATTTTTTCATTGAAAGAAGGGCAGATGTGGGGGTTGGAGGTATTATGTGTCATTCCATGAGGTGCTGTGGAGTGCAGTGTAGGAAACCCACACCTGGCCAGTGCTTACACTTGCTCAAAAAGTGTGCTGTATGCAACCGATGCCCACCGTGCCTCAAGCCGACTAGGTACAATAAATGTTCATCAGTCCAGTAGCTGTGAAAAGTGGATGACCTAATGGAATTGAGTATGTCCCTGAATAGCGAGATTAGGCCTCACCAAAGAAAGAGAAAAAATTGACTTGCACTTTTGAAAAGTCTCATGTATAGGAATGAGACTGAGATCCCTCTTCACTCTGTCTTTGTTGCTTGGTTTTAACTTATTTGGGAATGGACAGCAATATATTTTTCCTAGTTCTAGACTTGAATCTTGGATTCCTTAGCTTTCCAAGCATCCCAAAGCTATCTGTAGTGATTAAATAATTAGATATGTACCTTGCCTTGTGAAAGCTATAGTATGTAATTTACTAAGTACCAAATTGTGCAGCTGCAGAATAACTAATTGACTTTAGAGGTAAGCAAATAGAATCTACTTACATTCCTGTACAGTTTCCATAAAGTGACTCCCCTGAGTGACAGTCAAGAACATAAAATATTATCACTAATGTTGTAGCTGTTGAATCTTGTTTTGTGGAAACAGGTACAAATCAGAGAGTTGATAGGGAAGAACTCGATAAGAGTTTCTAAATTTAAAAGCTCTAATTTTGCTTACTGTGAATTCTGGCACTTTAAACACACTAACCAAATGAAATTCTGCTGCCCTCCACCATTTATTTCTACAGTGCTTTCTTTGTTGTTTTTTTTCACCAGTTCCTTAGACTCCATATTTGGAAGAAACTCAGTTCTTGACCTCAGTGATTTTGTTTCTCTCTAACTCACTACTAGTTGCTTTTTAACATGTGCTTGCTTGAATTTTATCTTTCTCCACTTTAGTTAGGTGGAACCTTTACCCTTTTCTTCGTTTCTGGATTTTTTTTTTTTTTTTTTTTTTTTTTTTTTTTTTACACCAACCTGTTTAGATAGGGTTGAATCATAGTGAACCATTCAGTGTTACTTGAGTGGACTGTATCGAGGAGGTTATTGACTAGGTAGAATTTGTTCCATGGGGCTTTAAAGGAACACTGCTGGTAATCATTGCAGGAGACTGTAGGGCTTTATGAGATCCATGACCAGGACTGACACACTACTCACATCTCACACCACAACCTGATTGGAAACTATAGTATATATTACACATATATATAGTGAGAAGCTACATATATTTCCAAGAATTCCACCAGTATAGTTTAAATTATAATTTAAATAATCTAATTTGGTATTTAGACACAGTGTTTAAATAGGCCAAATTATCTGTGCTCTACTACTTGAAAGGCTTTCCTTCTAGCTTAGTGAGTCCCAGATTGAAACATCGGGCTAATGCTCTAGATGCATTCGTTAGTAGGGTACAGTTTGCTCAGTGTCGTCATCCCTGGCTCCAACTTCATTCCCATTTCTCTCTTTCCCAATGGAATATATTATTCCAGAATAGTAAACTAGATCTCTAACATTATTTTCAGTGCTTGTACTTCATGAGAAATTACCTGATTTGAAAGATAATTCTAAAATGCATTTGTATTCTGTGGAATAACAGAGACCTCGTGTGGCCAGTTTGATTAATTCAAATGTATCCATCACTTACTCAAGCAAAGGATTGCAGACTTGGGTGCCTGACTCACTACTCAAGCTGACAGATGGTCTTAACTCTTCACAAAATCCTCCTTTTAGACATGGTTTTCATTTACTCTAAAACAGACCTGTCCATGTCTAAATAAGTAAAAACTGATAGAAAACATTAGAAAGTTAAGTCACTGGTTTATCACAGAAAGGCTTGTTGGTTTAGAGCACAATGATTTAAGACGATAAAACTGTTCTTGGGTGAAATATATATGTTGAATGTAAATGGTTCCTAGTTTATCCTTCTAATGGATCTCTTCACGTTGGCCCACTATTTGGAGATACATTAACAAAATTTCACGTAATAAAAAAGTTTTAAAATCTAACTTACAAACAAAAACTAGATTGAGAATGATGTTTAAGGGATCAAAAAGCATTTAGGATCATATTCCTGATTTTAGTCTCTGAATTGTACTCCATTTCATGATTACAACATGAAGAAGTCATAATTATTCTTGACAATAAAGGGAATTCATTGGGTAAAATTGTGGGTCATTTACTTATCTCCTGAGTGAATGTTATATTAACTCTTTAGATGGTTGAATGTTGAACGGCAGTTGAGAATTATGATTTGAAGTGATTTCTGTGGGAGGGGATCATTACAAATGTGTACTCTGAACGACGTCATCTAGCTGTAAGAAAAAAATATATAGCCTTCAGAACCTTCCTTTTCTTAAAAATCCATGATCGTCTGCAGTTCCATCCTTTTTCATAAAACTCTGGCCTGAATTTTTACTAAGGTTTAAATTCTTAAAATTGTCCTTCATCTGGGATTGCATGCTTCCTCAGTAAAAGTTTATAGTTATTGAAGAGTATCTTCTCTGCATATGACAATACTTGTAGATTAGATCTTTGGGCTCTTTCACTCAAAGGTTTTTGTATTATTAGTCAAATAACATTATTCTTCTGTGATTTTTGACTGTAGCCTATATCTCCCTGTGATTTGTACCAATGCTGAAATTTTAGACTTGGCTGTCTAAAATTTCTGGTCTAGAGGTATTTCAATTGAAGGTGTAAGTTTCCAAGTTTGTTGAAACAGTTCGTTGGGAGCCAACCAGATCAGCTCAATGATGTTGTCGTTGTTTGTTTTGGCAGGAGGACTCAGTTACAGTTTGTTAATTTCTTCACCAGATGCTCTTTTTCCTCAAAAAAAAAAAAAAATGCTGTCTTAGAGATTTTATTTTACATAATTTTTTAACCTTGATCCCCTCCTACCTACCAAATAGTGTGAATTGTGTATCCATTATTTCCTTAGCTAAACTGACTTTATTCTCAGCTTTTTTAGCCCTAGGTTTTCTGTGGCATTGCTTAAAAGTGTTGTACTGCTTAAGAAAAAAAGTCAAAATCTGAGGCAAACATGCTCTTTTATCCTTGTTTATGACAACAGAATAGTGAAATTAAAAATTATGCGTTATTAAAGAATTAATAATGTTCAGACATTGCTATAAAAATCCTCGAGTCAGCTTTCACTTGGAGGATAGTAACATGGCTATGGCAGCTTCAATGGAGGAGCCAGTGGTAGCTTCTTTTCCTGGCACTAGGAAGCATGTCATCCTAAAACGGTTGATCAGGTACAAGTTTCATAGCAGGGCTTGTGTAATGCAGCACATCACCAGATTTCCATTTGCCTTTGTCTTTATATTTTTTAGCCTTCTTTCCTCTACTCCTACCACCTCTGAGTAGCATTGATGTTTCTGCTGAAGTTGGGATTTGTATTAAGAATTGACTTTCAGTTTCTGATATAATCGTGTGTTAGGAATAGCTTTGATTGCTATGCAGTGATTGGTATTTGCTCGTTTTTTAAAATTATCACTTATAATTATGAAATAATTTACCTTTTTATCTGCTGTTCAAAGAGGCCAGTGAACTATGAAACATTGGCGTGCGGTTCTGTTTTGCCTGTCTATATGGCATTTTTCACTTGGAGGCATTTGAACCCCTGGAGAGGGGAGAATGAGGAGATGTTAGAGAAAGAAAAATAGGAGCTTTTTGCTCCTGGATTCCAAGGCCCACAAAGCTAAATGAAAAAGAAAGCTCTTCATTTCTGACCCTAAATTCACTTTACCAATGAAGTGCTGGGAAGATGACTGTCAAAAGGCATCAAAGCTCACTTACTCTGTACAGTTTTTGGAAAGCGGCATTTCCTGGTTAGATTCTCTTCTCCATTTCTCCCAAATAACTGTTAGAGACCTTGAAACAGAAAAGCCAGTGTAATGGGCTCTAGAGTTTAAACTAGGTGAGCAGCTTCTTAGGTTCAGCCAGTTCCTTGATAAGGATCCAGCGGAAAAACCGGCAATGAAACATTTTAACATGCAGTTTTTGGTGGGCTCCCACAGGACCTGCTTT